TTATCATATTTACATTTTAAATATATTTTAAAAAAATACAAATTGGAAAGTGAAAAAATAATATTAATAACGGGTCGTGCCTAAGGCACGTCCCTCAAGCTAGTAAATTTAGGGTCTGTTTAGTTCGCTGATTCGAGTTTTTAATTCAAATTGAGATGTGATTTTATATAAAAATTTATTACTATAATTAAAAAAATATAATTATTTTTAAGAGATTTTTACTATAATAAAACTCAAATTCTAAAATAAACATGACTCTAAGGCCTCGTTCATTTCACCGATTTAAGTTTTCAGTTTTAAGTTTTTACAGTAAAAAGCTCTAAAAAAATATCACATCTAATTTTTTTTTTGCTACAATAAAAAATTTTAAAAAAATATCATATTTTAACTTAAATTAAAAATTCAAATCTACAAAGTGAACAAAACCAATAACATAATTCAAATCGTCACTCTTATACGTCAGACTGTAACTAGAAATTTTGAATAAAGGTTCAACGAAAAAAAATACAGAAAACCTAGGGTCGAGCGAGTCGCACCAATGAAACACCTACCTTTATAGTTTCAAAAATGGACGCAGGAGCCACATGGCATCTTTCTATTTGGTGAGCACACAAGTGCGTATTGCAACACGATGCGCGTGGGATAATCTTCACATCATTTGACGTCTGCGAAACAACACGTGTCGTCACTCAGGATTTCCCCTACGTATTGGAGATCTTTTGTTGCAAAGTCTGACACGTGTTCGAAGCCGAGGCCTCCGTCAGCATCTGTTGGAACACTTGGCAATTGATAAAGTGCAGTCGCACCACCTCTGGTTACACGCTCGTACGTTTGTCTTTGTTTTATCAAATGGGTGGGGACTGGGGACCTTTGACCTGATGAATAGATGTTGTCGTTTTAGTGCGATGAGTCAATCACAAATGTGTGGGGGCCAAGTTATCTACAGCCTACGCGTGTCCATGATCCTTTTTTTCTTGATACGTTTTAAAATTTAAGCAAGGTACACAAAAATCAAATCCAAGTCCCTAGCGGAAAAAGGAAAAAAAATCCAAAGAAAAGTGAATTGAATCGTATACAATAATTCATAAGATTTTTTTTAAATGAATTTATGTAATAAACGAGAAAAAAAAGAAAGATGAATGTTTAATTTCTCATAGTTTTAGAAAGATAAGTGATATTTACTTTACGGTATCTAAAGAATTTCATTTACACATAAATTAATTATAGCATTTTCAATGAAATGGGATTATTATAAGTGAATAGTGCTTTTTATTGCTTGTTTGTCAAGTATAGGTGGGGAATTTTTTTCCCCCCCTCTTCTTATAGAACATGGAGCTTTGCCGCAAGAAACGAAATTGTGCAGAGCTGAATATCATTTATGTTAAAAACTAATAATGAGATTCAAAAAAAAGTGTCATTTTTTTATTAAAGTCTTCCCTCTAATTTACTTATTCTTAAAATATTTAAACAAGAACATAAATCGTTTTCCTCCCAATTACTAGAGGAAGATTTATGTCACGACCCCAAGGATAGGGCCGTAATTATTGTGGTTTAATTTAAAATTTAACTTAATTAAACTAGACTGTTTAACCAAATTACAAAATAATTACATAAATATCAATATAGTTTGCTCCGGAGACTTTCTTTCATAAATAATATTTAGAACAGTCCATTAAGTCCAAGAAAAATAATACAACTCAGGGACAATGTCGACCAATACAGTTTGCATACAGAAATACAGTACATCTCAGAAATTAAAACCGTAAATCCGAAACAAACGTACCGCTTTGAATCTCGCATCTTCAATCCATTGGCATCCACTTGTCACGCTACAAATCTAAACTGCTAACTCTGGAGGAGGGGTTTAAAACATTGAAAACATAATAAAGGTGAGCGGAAGGCCCAATAAGATATAATATTATAAAACATTTTAAATAAAGGTACTCACGGCCTGAAAACATACACTCGAAACCGATCATCTATTTTTAAAAATAAAATACTCACATAGTAGAAAATATCCGTATAATGAAAATGTGCAGCTCATCATACCACTGAGTAATAAGCGGTAAAATGTCTGTCTAGTGAAAATGCAGAGCCATAGTTCCCCTAAACAAGAAGTGGATCCGTATGGGTTTCGGGACCTGCCCCTAATGATGCGATTCCCACATCCCGATCTCTGAGGCCACCATGTTTTGTATCATTTCTTAAGATATTTCATTTTAAGAAATGATACTCTTTAAAATCTCATTTCCAAAATCATTGGAAAACTTAATAGCATTCTTATGCTATTCTTTTGAAATCATTTTCTTTAAACATGTTTTGTTCTAAAACATTTTCATGGGCCAAAATCATTTAAAATGAGGCTAATAATGATATGGACAATAATATCCTACCTCTCGAATGTCAAACCTAGACTAGCCTTCCGTTCTCCTAGCCACCGCTTTCCTTAAAGCTTTAATACTTGACCTTCTCCACTAGCTTTATCACAAAAGCAATATCTTAGGAAGTATTTCTCATTCCTAAAATGAATTAAGCTCAATCATGTTTAATTGTTTCCTATTAGTGTGCCTTGACTCAAATCTAAATTTCACAAACAATTTTATAATCAGTTTGGGGGTTCTTTAAAGATTGAAATCCAATTCATGGGTTTGGTTTCCTATTGAGTTTTAGCTTAAAAACAACTTTTTAAAGAAATTTCAGCAGCATACCCACATAAATAGGAAAAATGTCAAACTTGCAATTAAAGTTCAATTTCAAAATAATTCTCCGGAATCCATCAAAATCAGTTTCCAATCAATTTTATAATCAGTTTGGGGGTTCTTTAAAGATTGAAATCCAATTCATGGGTTTGGTTTCCTATTGAGTTTTAGCTTAAAAACAACTTTTTAAAGAAATTTCAGCAGCATACCCACATAAATAGGAAAAATGTCAAACTTGCAATTAAAGTTCAATTTCAAAATAATTCTCCGGAATCCATCAAAATCAGTTTCCAATCAATTAAACAAGTCCAATAACTGAAAACCCCTAAATTTTAATCAATTTCAACAACAATTGTTCAAATCTAAACCCTAACTCAAAATTATTCAAATCTAACCAAAATTAAACTTTCTCAAGCTTAAAATTCGAATCAAAGAGTGGGTTTCAAAGGGTTTTACCTTAAATCAGTTGATGGAGCTTTGTCTCCCTCAGTTTCTCCCATTTTCGTTCGTTTTTTTTTCTTCCCTGTTTCGGCAGGGAACTCCAAGAGGGAGAGAGAGAGAGAGAGAGCAAGAGAGAGAGAAAGACCGGCGGGAGAGAGAGATCCAGGAGGAAGTGGCTGGCGTGGAAAAAAAAATGAAGAGAGAGAGATGTTCTGCTATGAGAACCAGAGAGAGAGAATGTGGGCTGGTCTGGGCAGCCACAGGAAGGAAGGGAGGGAAAAGAAAAGGAAGAAAAGAAAAAAAAAAGAAAAAGGAAAAAGAAAAGAAAAGGAAAAAGAAAAATGGAAAAAGAAAAGAAAAGGAAAAAGAAAAATGGAAAAAGGAAAATGTATTAAAATTTAAGTGTATTTTTAAAAACTTTTGGGGTAAATTCATAAATACTGAAAATAATTTAAAGTCTCTTAATTAATTGTGAAAATTAAATTAGGCACACTAATAATTCACAGTTTAAGCATAATTAAACATGTTTAATTCTAGAGGGCGTTACAATTTATCTATATCGTTTCTAAAATAATCCATCCAAATTATAGGTATCAAATAGATCGGTTCAATTCCAATCATGTTTGGAATTCGTCCAACCTTTTCTTAAGTTTTGTGGCATTTGTCTCGAGCGAATACCTATTTAACCGTGGTTATGTCTAGTTTCGCTTTTTATTATTCTCAGACTTTTTACATGTACTCACAAATTTAAAAAGAAAATTATTGAACTTTTAAAATGCACGAGTTTAGATTTGTACTCATTACTTTTTATTAATATCTTATTGACTAATATAGTTATTTAACTAAAAAATATATTAGTTAAAAGTATAAACATATCAAAATTTTTGAAATATTTTAAAAATAAGGACAAAATGACATGGTTTCTCTCAAACTATAGACATTGTCACAAAATGCTTATCAAACTTCAATTTGTAACATCCATTCTTTCTGAACTTTAAAAGTCTTGCAAATTTTATCCTTATGTTAAAATTTTAACATAAAACGACATGTGGCGGTCATCTACAACAAGAGTTGCAGAATTGAACCTACAATTACAAAATTGTCCATACAATTACTTCAACATGCAATTATACGTTATTTTTTGGTTTTTTATCCATACCTCTCAACTTTTTTTCAGGATCTATTTTTTCCCCAAATTTCTCAGCTTTCTTCATACCTCTTCTTAAATCCTTTTCTTTTGGCTCAAAATGAACATCACTAATTGTGGAAGAGGAAAATGAGTAGGCGACCGCAGGAGAAGAGAGAAGAGGGTTGTGAATCGGAGTGAGAGAGAAGATTTCACCGCAAATTCCCTCTCTACCTACTTTTTGTAATTAATCGTAAGTGATATTTATATGATTGGTATTCACTTTAAATAATTTTAAAATCTGTTATTTATTTAATTTAATTTTAAAAATCTACTATTTACCGTAATTTGGTAAAACGGTAACGGTAAAAGAAATCAAGGTACAAATTAATTTCCCTATTTTGTGTATTTGTATTAAATGGGCCTGGGCTTAGTAAAACTGGATTGAAATGGGCTTAGCCCATATAAGGTATTTCAGTCGGCTTGGAGTTCGGACTTCGACATCAGGAGTTTGACCCAAAAGAAACACTGGCCTTCAGAATTTGGGCGGCCTGTCCGACTTACGAGTTGGAGGGTCACGTGCAACTTGCACAGTCCAGGTGCACGCTAGCACATTGCCCACTTGGCAAATATACTAACCTACGCCGCTACGGCGCACTTTAGCTCCACTCCCATCCAACCAACACATATCTCTGTTTGAATGCCATTCTTCCACGTAAAAATACTCTATTAGACCCTTCCGAACTTTCTCTCTCTCCCCCGCTCTGGAAATTAGGGTTTCATACAGGCTTCTTCACTCACTTCTCCGTCCCTATTTATCTCTCTTTTCTCTCTCCATCTCTCTCTTTCTTTCTCTCTCTATTTCTCCGCTCGATCTTCGTGTTTTCAATGCCTGCGATTCTCTGCCGGAGATTACTTACCCGGTGCCAAATTGTTCAATTTCTTGGGCGATTTCGGCCTATCAAGGAATTCGTCTGTTTGATTGATTCCGAATAGCGTGCCCTAGTTTAATTGGGTCTCCGATGGCGCCGAGTCGACGGAAAGGAGCCAGCAAAGCAGCCGCCGCGGCCGCCGCTCGCCGGCAGTGGAAGGTCGGCGATCTTGTGCTTGCTAAAGTCAAGGGCTTCCCTGCTTGGCCTGCGACGGTACGTGTTTTTTGCGAAAAAACACAAGTTTTTTGTTTATTATCTATGAATTTTGATGTGCCGGTTTTAGGTTGCTAGGGGGTTGCATATTTTTGCTGTGTGCCTGGTCGTTCGATACACTTTGTGGGATTGCTTAATTGTTGGTTTCGTAGATCTGGTTCAAAAGTTTTTCCCTTTTTGTGCAAACTATGTTGGGGCATCTTTTTGCTCGGCTAGGGATTCGAATATCTATGTGATTTGGAGTGTGAGTTTAGAAATTGAATTTCATTGAGGTTGAAGCTTTCAGCTTTGTGTCATTGTGCGGTTTTTCTAATACTTTTATGGACTATTTTGTTTTCAATCCATGAATTAAGTGTAGCTATAGCCAATTAATTAGAAATTAGTTGTGCCTTTTATCTAAGAAGATTTACAAACTTCATCACTCTGAGCTTATCAACTTAGTTTCTGGTCGCAGGTAAGTGAGCCGGAGAAGTGGGGGTACTCTACTGATTGGAAGAAAGTACTCGTGTATTTCTTCGGAACCCAACAAATGTAAGTATCAGTGCATCATCAATAACCATTCTTGATTAACTTTAATGTAGAATTACTTGTTATGCTACTTTAGTATTTATATATGTTACATTTTCAAGTGTTTGTGCCTTCTCTTCCAAACTAGGATTAGGACAGTATGGGGTTAGATACGTAGATATTTAATCTGCGTTGATTTGATGTTAGTATGTTCCTACTGCATCTACCATGTAGTTGGAGAAAGTGATGGATAATGAGGCTGGTTATGCTTAGTAAAAAAGAAACAAAGCCGATACGTTATGCCTATAGACATTTGGTAATTGGTACTACCTTTCTTTTTTTAGTTTCGTTATTTTCTCGGTTACCAATAATCCAAATGTTATGCCCTTTGTTCAATTTCTTTTTTTCTTGATTCAAATGTAGATTGTTTAATTTCATTACATTTTAGTTGAGCTATATATATATATATATATATATATATATTGCAAGCTGTCCCTGAAAGAAAGTGGTGGAATTTTCATGGTGATTTGTGATTTCAAGGTTTTTTTTGGTTGGTAATATTCATGTAAAGTTGGAAAAAAGCAAATGATACCTGTCAAACATTCCCTTGATTTATGGCCTTTTAACTTATAACCTTAGTGAGGACAAGAAAACTCATTTAGAGCGCGATAGGCTTGAATTCTACCTATGTGCAGAAGTGAGTTAAGGTAAATTTGAAATTTTAAAATCTTAAAATTTAAGATTTCACATTGCTTCTCCTTAAGTGACAATTATGTGGAAAGGAAGAGGCAAAATTCAAGATTTTTTATTACCTTAGATCAATGTTTAAAAGGTGAAATCAGGAACCAAGGCGTTGTGCCTAATTGAGGTGAGACATAGGCCCCGAGGCAAGTCGAGCTGTAAGAAAAAGGAAGAAAATTATAAAAATTTCAAGATAATTTAGAAATATGCCATAAATAAGCAACAGGTAAACTTAGTTTATCACAAAACACAAAAAACATAAACCACATAATAAGAAAGTGTGTTAAGTCTGACTCTAGAAATGTAATGAAGTCTTAGTCTTCCTTTCCGTCTTTATTGTATATGTTCTCATTATGCACCTCTACCATAACTTTAAATAGAGCGAAAAATATTGGAAATAGTACAAATTGTTGCATCGAATGCAAATTCCATTTTATAAATTAGTCCATTGGTCCGGTGTTCTTCTATAGGAACCACCACTATCAGGAATGAAACAAGAACCCGCCGGTTCTTGAGCACGGTTTTTTTTTTCTCCTACATCATTTAAAAAGCACGTGCCACCACCACCAGTAGGAATGAAACAAGAACCCGCCACTTCTCGAGCCCGATTTTTTTTCTCCTACATCGTTTAAAAAGGTGTGTGCCTCATATACCTCGAGGTGCTCCTCAAACTGAGGTGGTCTAATTGTGCTTGGAGGCACACGCCTCTATTCCAAAATTGTTGCTTACGCCTTTTTTCATAGAGGCATACGCCTCGAGGCTTAAATGCCTCGGGGCGTTAGGCGTTAGTCTCAAGTGAAGAGCCCTTTTGGGCCCTTTTTCTTTGCTTTTATTATTATTATTATTATTTTATTTTTATTAAGTAAATCTTAGCATCGCTTCTGAAGCTCTAAATGACTATGAATCGGAAGCAAAAGTGCAAGTCAAAACTCATTATTCAACTCAGCCCCCACCACATCTTTGAGTTGAGCAGCAGCAGCAGATACTTCTTTTCCTCTCCTTTCTTTTTGCTAAATTTGTCTCGAGACATTTCAAAATTCATGCTGAACTAATTTTCTAGGATTAAATAGTGGCCAAAGAGAGAGAGAGAGAGAGAGAGAGAGAGAGAGAGAGAGAGAGAGAGAGAGAGAGAGAGAGAGAGAGAGAGAGAGAGAGAGAGAGAGAGAGAGAACATAAACTTGACTTTCTTTTTTCTCTTTTGCCGTTGAAAACTCAGTGTCATTACACTAAGTACATAAGACGGCATAGGCAAAAAAACGTGGCTTGTTAATGGGGCTTGATCGTGTAGTGTAGTGTTAGGAGTGAAACGTGGCTTGTTAATATGGCTTTTATCATGATGAGGTAGGAAGGATACATGGTTTTCACATTTTTTTTTAATGAAGTGTTTTAATTTTTGTGTTATGTGATGAACTTCATGCATAAAGCCATAGTGTGACCAGTTGGGGCACGTGCCCCCACTGAGAAAGCAAAGAATAAAAAAATATGAACTGTAATTATATGGCCTATATCAAAGAATGTCTTCCTATATTACTGTTTTGTGCGGTTGTGCCCCCACTAGATCAGTTACTCTATCTTGTGTCTTTGGGCTTTCTTAAACTCCTTGTTTATTTTGGGCTTCATTTGACTCTTTCCAAATTACCAGAAAAATCATTCTATTTTTATGCCTTTCATTATGCTCAAATCCTTTTCCTATTCAACATTTTTAAAGCTTTTCCATGTTTTGGTTTTTTGGTTTTCTTGCTAATATTAGTACCTCACTCCTTTTTTGTTCAATACGTTGACTTCTCTTTCTCTTTCCTTTTATATTTTTTTCCTCCTCAAATGATACTTTTAACTATTTTCTTATCTCTATTAGTGTGGTAAACTTTGTAGTTCTCTCAATATTTCTCAATTTCTAATTTTCAGATCAACCTTTCAAATTATTATTATTTTTTTCCTAGTTTATTGTCTTGATATCGTGGTTTTGATGTACCCAAGTTTCTTGTTTTATTTAAAAACGAAATTGTAGTCATTGATTTCTATCGAGAAAAAATGAATAATAAATTTTATTTTTGTTTGTGAATTGTGCCCCCACTGAATTGACAGTCTGGTTTCGTCACTGATGAAGTTAGGTTATTATTTTAGTCTATGATAAGTTTATGAATTTTCTTTAATCTTATTAATGTTTTTCTTTTTTATTCGAGGCTTACGCCTTGCCTCAATTAGACAAAACGCCTCAGTTCCCGCTTCCGCCTTTTAAAACCTTGTTCTCCTATAGAAATTACACACAAAAAAAAAGACGTCAGGTAGATACAAAGATCAAATAGTAAGGCCACATCTCCCTTAAAAAAACAAGGATTATTGGCACAAATGGTCCCCAATCTATTGAGTAAGTGATAGTTTGGTCCTCAACTTTTTTTTTTTGGGCAAATCATCCGTTCAAAAGCTAACGGCCTAATGCACGTGACCACCAACGTGACCCAAGCTTCCTCGGTCTTTCAATACCATTGGGGCTAATTCCGGCCCAATTTGGACCAGGCCTCGCGATTCCGGCGTGGAAGGGGCTGGTTCCGGTGCTACGGAGACAGATTACGGCGTGACGGGGGCTGGCCTCGACGATTTGGCTGCTGTTTGGATAGGGCCTCACGATTCCGGCGAGAAAGGGGTTGATTCTGGTGCGGCGGAGCCAGCTTCCGGCGGGATTGTAGTGGAGTCCCGCAATTCCAACTCCATTAAGGCTGATCCCGGTGAGACTGGTGTTGTTTTCGAAAATTCCGGCCAAATTTGGAGCGGGTCTCATGATTCTGATGCTGTGGAGGTTGTTTCCGGCGAGGTTGGGGTTGATTCCAGCGAAGGTAAGGCATGGTTTGGGAATTCCAGAACTATTGAGGCCACCGTTAGCGATTTGGGGGCTGTGTTCCCAAAAGTGTGGATTGGGTCTCGTGATTCAGGAGTGAACTGGGTCGATTTTGGCATGGTTAGGGTTGGCCTCGTAATTACAACAATATTGGGCCTAGTTCTGGTGCAATGGTGGTTGGGCCTCAACATTTCAACACATTTAGGACTGGGTATAGTAAGTCTGTAGCTAGGTATGAAGCAATTGGTGACAGAGAGGTTGAAAGAACGAAGACTTGGTTAGCTGAGAAGGAAACTTCTTTGTTAATGATGGGTTTGTCAAAAGCTTTTATGGTCATTGATAAGCTTGATCAGGGGGCTCCAACTAAATTGGCGGACTTTGTGGCTGCTTTCCAAGATACAAAGAAGATGAAGAAAGTAATTGATTGGCTCCAATTTGAAGACGTGTCTTACAAGGACAACATCAATTTGGGGACTCAAATCGAGGAACTAACAAAGCCTTTTGTTCTCAATCATTTAGAAGTTATTTTTCAATTTTATTTCTTGATTTTCACCTTGAGGACAAGGTGATTCTTTGGGGCGGGGGTAATGTTAGGAACCTAATATTTAGAAGTCTTTTTCAATAGTCTTAAGGAGAGTATAAATAGGGGGTTTAGTTGCTAGGGTGGGGAGGATGAGATTTGGGGAGAATTTCTGGTGTTTCGGCTGTTAGCTTGGGAGGTTGTGGGGTTCCTCGAAAATCCCTCTCTATCTTTATTTTCCTGTATTTTCCATTCTTGCCGATTGTGAGCTTCGTTGAGCTCACTGATGTTAGTAAATTGATTGATATTCAATAAAGAAACTATTAGTTGGATCCCATTCAAATACTTGCTGGTTTTCCATTTCTTTTGAGTTCAGGATCCTAACAGAGAGAGATTGGTGTTGGTGTTGCGGTTTGTGTGAACTTGAATACAAGATTGGCGAGTTTTTTTGGTGATGGAAAAGGTTGGGAGAGATAGAAGGTTGGATAATGGAAATGGGTTTGAAGTTGATGGTGGTGATGGTGATGGTGGGCTCAAGGGTGATGGTGGTGGTTTGGCGTTCATGGCTGCTCCATGGAACTCTAGACAAGATGAATTGGGCCACGTGGGTGGTCACGTGCATTGGGCCGTTAGCTTTTGGACGCGTGCATTGGGCCGTTAGCTTTTGGACGGATCTTGACAGAAAGGACCAGATTGCACCTGTTTTAAAAGGTTGGGGGTCAATTTGCCAAAAAAAAAAAGGTTGGGGACCATTTGTGCCATTAACCCAAAAAACAACAAACAAAACAAGTCTTCCCTTGAAAAATGCAAAACACTACGGGCTCGTTTGGTAAGGGGGTTCAAACTTGGAACCTTTTGGGTTTGAACCATGTGTGAGGTTCTGTGGGGTTTGACCTGTGGTTTGAACTTTTGTTTGGATGTGTGTAGAAAATTGGGTTGGAACCATATGGGTTCAAATGGGCAAAACCTAGGGGGGGAGCCAGGTTCTCGTTTTTTGGGTTGAGGTGAGTTCAAATGTCCCATCTGGGTCTCAATCCATATGTTTTTTGGAGTCTTAAACGAAGGTTGGGGACCATTTGTGCCATTAACCCAAAAAACAACAAACAAAACAAGTCTTCCCTTGAAAAATGCAAAACACTACGGGCTTGTTTGGTAAGGGGGTTCAAACTTGGAACCTTTTGGGTTTGAACCATGTGTGAGGTTCTGTGGGGTTTGACCTGTGGTTTGAACTTTTGTTTGGATGTGTGTAGAAAATTGGGTTGGAACCATATGGGTTCAAATGGGCAAAACCTAGGGGGGGAGCCAGGTTCTCGTTTTTTGGGTTGAGGTGAGTTCAAATGTCCCATCTGGGTCTCAATCCATATGTTTTTTGGAGTCTTAAACGAAGGTTCTATTGGGCCCTAGGTTCAAACCCGCAGAACCCCCTTACCAAACAGGGCCGTTAATGAACAAATAAGAAGGGGAAGGAGTACCTATTGTCGCAGCTTAGTTGCTAGAGTTGAGATGTCCATGGTGTTGCTGTTGCTCTGTTGTGTTGTTTGGCTGATGTGTTGTTGTGCTTTTCCATGTTTAGGTAAACTAGGGTTTCAAAAGTGATGATATAACTTTTCTTTTTAATCCTAAACGGTAGCCCATGTCTAAAATAGGACAATTTTACTATGGAAGGGGAAAAGAGCCCAATTGCGTCAAAATTGTCCAAAGGGCTTCTCTAATTGAGGCTTGAGCCTTAGGCGGCTTAAGGTGAATAGGCATTTTTGCCTTAAGGCATGCGACTCTTCTTGGAGGCAGATTCCTAAAAATGCCACAAGGCTTCCTCATTTTGAGGGTACATTTTTAAAAAAAGAGTGCACCTCGTACGCCTTGTGCATGCCCTGATCTGAGGCAGTCTTGTGGCACTTGAAGGTGACAGCTCTTTTAGTTGAATGAGGTTTACGCCTTCTGGAGACTCACACCTTAAGGCGTCAAAAGCATTTGTAGTTCTTTTTTTTGTTTTTTTTTGTTTTTTTTTGTTTTGTTTTTTGTTAGCCTCAACCTGTTTGCTTTTTTAAAATTGTATGTGAACGCTGATAAAAATGTTCATTTTGTCCTATGAACTTTTAATGTTATAGATAATATTAATATGCTTGAACTTTGAAATTAAGAGGAAAATTATTATTTATAAGTTGATAGAGTTATGGCACAAAGTTACATAATCTACCTCTTAAATAATGGGAGGGAGATGGCAAATGGCCAACTCTTCCAAGCATGTATTGGACATTATTCTTTTATTATATTGTGACTATGATCTAATGGCTTCAACTTTTTCTTGGTATTGTTCTTTCATTGGGAACCTCATGTCAGTTTCATGGATTTATGGAAGGAGATCTTCCGTCTATAGGATGGAAATAATGCTAGGAGCAAATGTGTCCTTTGCGATAGTTTTGTGAAAGTTGGAGAAGTACGCTTTCTTGTTGACATATTGGCATACATGTTTAGTATTAATGTATACAATTTTTTATGCCCTAAAAGTTGTATATTAGTGGAATATCCATAAATTATGCTATACTTATTTGAATTTATAAGAGAAATGTAGCTTTAGATTACAATGAATCGATGAATTACAATGATCAAATACATAAATGTACATTTATAAATAGGTTTAATGTCAAATTAGCTCTTGAAGGATAGTGGTTGTCTCACTTTACACCTTTACAGTTTAAAATGGTACAAAATTGTCCCCCAAGCTTATCAGAAGTTGTAACTTTGGTACTTATGGTAATGAAACACCAATTTTTTAACAGTTTTAAACACGTGTGGGTCACGTGAATCGCTTAATTGAGGGAAATTTAGTAAATTAATAGACTAAAAAAAGGTTGCAAATGCTTCCTCACTGTGACCCCAATATTGCCTCTTCTTTTCCTTAAAACCCCACTTAGCATTTCTCTCCTATATTGTCTTTTACAAATGACTCATATGACCTAAAGGTGTTTAAAACTAATAGAAAATTGACGTTTAATGAAGTAAGGATCAAAGCTGCAACTTCGGATAAGTTCGGGGACAATTTTGTGCCATTTTAACTATAGGGGACAAAGTGAGACAACACCATTCTTCGGTGGTTAAATTTGAAAATTAACCCTTATAAATATGCATATATAACTATTAACTGGAACATATTGTCTTTCGTCAGGTAAACAAAGTTGATACAAGTTTCATTAGTTCCTAGTATGTAATTTGTACATTTTAACACTTAGCACCAAAGTGGCAAATGGTGTTTGATCTTTACCCCATCTTCTTTCTTCTGGAAGATGTTCACAGAGATGTGTTCTATCACGGTAGTTTTTGTTGTTTCAATTGTAGGCACTTTGCATTCTCTGTCTTCGATTTTTGTTCTTTATGTGAGCTGTCTGAGAATCTCTTGGAATTTCATATTGATAAAGCTGTGTAAGATTCAGTATACTACAGTACTTGTATCCCATAGGTGCCGCGTGCATCTTTCTGTTGAGTATTTTGTCTTGTTGGTTTTATGTTATTTTCCGAGTCTTTCCGCCAGTCTTGAAGAGCATAGTTAGCTTTTGTTTTACTTACTTTGACGAATATTTTGTCATGTAGAGCCTTCTGCAACCCTGCTGATGTTGAGCCATTTACTGAAGAGAAGAAACAATCTCTTCTGATCAAACGTCATGGGAGGGGTGCTGACTTTGTTCGTGCAGTGCAGGAGATTGTTGAGAGTTACGAGAAGTTGAAGAAACAGGAGCAAGATGATGGTTTCAACTCTGAAGAAGTGGCTCATGCGAATGGTGGGAACTCGGTTGAGTCATCATCAAACCTTGAGTCAAAAGATCATCTTGAAGCTCCTGAAGCTACTTTTGATTCTCAATTTAACTCTCCACATTCTACTGCCGGTGGAAATGAGCCACCTCATCATGCTGATAATACTTCACCTGCTGCACCTAAAGATGCTGTGGATGGTAAAGAGGAACCTACTGATTCTGCAGCAGTTTCAGAAAAACCTTTATGTACCTTGTTAAGAAAAAGATCTAAAGATTTGCCTTTGCAAAATGGCGTTTCACAGAGAAAAGAGGCGATAGTTAGAAAGTCTAGAAGCTCATCCAGGCTGGAATCTCGTAGGTTGCGAGGTTCAACAGTGCAATGTAATGATAGTGGCAAGAATGCAGCGGATATATCAGCTACTGTCACTCGTGATGAGTTGTTACGAAGAAATAAGCAAAAGAGGAAATCAACGGATACCTCTGAATGCGATGTTGTTGATTTATCTGCTTTTGTTTCAAGTGGGAGCACTGATGACAATGGCTCTGAAATTGTCACAATCGAGTCTGACGCCTTTAGTTTTAATGAAGGTAGTACTATTGATTCTGATTGTAAAATTGAGCACTCAGAGACTCTTGTTGGATATGTGGATGGTGATGTTGAGTTGAGTAAAGGTCTTGATCTCCAAATAAAGGCTGTTGTTATCAAGAAGAAAAGGAAGCCAAATAGAAAGCGGCCAAATAACGATGCAGTACCTACTGGTACATTAGATAAGGAGGCGAGTGTGCAAAATACTAGTGAAAGTTCCCAAAATGCTCGTGAAAAGATGAATGGAGGCTGTCCCAAGGAAGATGGAGATGAGCACCTTCCTTTGGTAAAACGAGCAAGGGTTCGGATGGGTGAATCATCTTTGAAGGAGCCTAATAGCGTTTCAAACACAGAAGAGAATACCCAGAAGGAAGTTACCTTAAATAAATCAGGAGCAATTAACAAATCTTCACATTGTGTTGATTCTACTGATAGGGGCTCATTTATGATGAATGCAGTGATGGATGCATCTCCTTCACGAGGTACTCAGCTTCATGAAAGTAAGTCTCAGCCTTGGAAACCTAAAAAGGACCAGTCATTTGGCTGCTCAGTTGATGAGGAAGCTGCCTTGCCACCATCCAAACGCCTTCATCGTGCTCTTGAAGCCATGTCTGCTAATGCTGCTGAAGAAGGTCAGTCACATATTGATGTGTCATCTGACACGAATACACAAACTGGTGTATATTCTGTTTCTCCGATGAGGAGATCCCCTGATATGATTATGACCATAGAAGGGAAAAAGGCTGGTGAAGTGGAACTGCAGCATGTGGACTCTATCAGTGGTAATGCTCAAGGGGTTGATGTGTCTGGATTTGCTACCAGTTTTAACACTAGTGCAGTGGAAAATGATGAATTACTCCAGGAGACAAGCTTTCATTATCTAAAAGTTGAGCATTCTAATGCCCAAAACAACAAATCTGGTGAAGAATGTTTCACGGATGCTGGGCATCATGCTGATGCAAAAAACCCTTGTGGCGGATCCAATAATGGTGAACTTGCTGCAACTGCAGTTCCAACTCAAAGCCCAAGGCATTTATCATCTAGTCCCAACAGAAAAGAATCTGATGTCAGATCTGTCCAAGGTTCAGCA